GTATTGCAGATGATGAAAGTTGAAAAGAAATCAACTTTTGTAAGAGAGTATAATGATCAACTGTAAATATACTGTAATATAATATGAAGTTTCACTTGTAGAATTACTGAAAAAAATCTACTTTTATATGATATTATAATATTATGAACAGCACCTGTACTTAAAGTGGACTTTATGGCCTTTTGAACAACTGAACAGCTGGTCTGTGGTTGTTCACATGTGGGTTCACCTTGGGGTCAAATACAGATATAAAGTCTAAAAACAGCAGCTGATAGGCCCACCCCTGGGTACATTTACATCAGCTCAGGGTGTAAAGATTCAAACAATGAACCAGCAGAAATAAAACTGATCATTAAAGTGGTTGAGATGTCCTCTCAGACAGGACATCTGTTAGCTGAGAGCATTCCAACATTTGATTTATTTCCCAGATGCTCATCTGGATAACCCATATTCACCTTTCTTCTTTCCTTTTTCCTCACTTCTGTCTCTCTCCTTTCCTCTTCCTTCATGCTTATCAGAAGGGACTTCTATTCTTATCCCTATTACCCGTAAGTTAATCCACTCTGGCCCACCCCCCACCCCCTGCTTGCCTCTGTAGCACCACCCTATCCACTCCTCTTCCTTCCACTAAGAGTATCTCACTGGGCTGTGATGAGTGGGAATCTCCAGGACATCCGGCATCGTTTGCAGCGATGCTCAATTACATCATCTGAGCTGCAYGGCCTCCCTGTCRCGAACATTYATTCATTTATTATCCGATTTCATGTGCGGGGTCACAGTTTATCTCCACTGGTCATTGGGTGAGAGGCAGMGTACACACTGGTCAGATCACAAGTTCATCGCAAAGACACATGAAGACAAACAACCTCGCACTCACTCAAACCTTGAGACAATATACTGTAGAGTTACCAATGAACCTAATATGGATATGTGTGGGAGGAAACCCACTGCTCTGACACCTAATATACAGTAGATACCATATTTATTCCAGTATAATATGTAAAATTTAATCCATATAATCATCCATAAAGTTGGGGGGTAGTATTTTACTCTGATAAATATTTTTACTTATGTATTTTAATCGACTTCATTTATGAAATGCCTGAGTCCAGAGATGAGACCGCGTCACAGAAATCAGTTGAAACGAGCTCACCTCTGACACTCCTCTGTGCTTCAGAGTGAGATAATAACAGATCCAGGCAGGAGACATGATGTGAGAAAAAGGGGTAAAAATCAGTCCTGCAGCTCAGTAATGATAACAAACTAATGACATTAGCGTGTGACCGAGCCGCTCCTGGAACAATAACAAACACACGTTCGTCTGTAATGGCTGCCGTCTACCGGTGTTCTGAAAAAGTTTGTATCCCTGTAAAA